GGCCACGGAAGGTTTTTTTAAGAAAACAATGATTTTTTTCTTAGATTGAAGGAGAGAGATGATATAACATACAATAAATTTGCAGTTCTACATGTATGACTGATTCTAAAGTCTGTCTGTATATTTGTGCACCCTAGCCAATGCGAAAACGGTGTCGGCTAGATTGATATGAAAAGCTTCTGATAGTCTATAAAAAACTCTACGAAAAGTAATCGAAGGAAAATATAGCAAATCTGAATCAAATGTGATTTTAATAACAAGTTAATAAACAATTAGAAATTACTTTTATACTTTTCTTAATAAGTTTAATCCAAGATCGATAAGTCAAAACTCAGTTGTTTTTATCAAATAAGTAATAGTCAGTAATATTAACTGTCTTCAGTAAAACTCTACTGAAGAGAATCGTCTATGAGGAATGCAAATCTAAGTTCAGCTTTCCAATATTGACAGTTATTAATTAATGATAAATTAATGTATCATTGTTTTCTATAAAACTTGGCTGATCATTATCGAGCATGGAAAATGCGAATTCGAAGTTAATCGAAGTCTTTTTGGCCTTTTTAAAACTTCTTTGAATGAATTCCTTGTTATTTTAAGCTTGACTTAAGGATAGTCGAGGGTCGCGAATTCATGCTCGAGATTGCTTTTAATATAAGTATTTTTCCTTGTTGATTACAAAACGCCAGGTCTTTGGGTAAGATTTATACATACATATGTAGAAAACGAAGTGGTCACTTGAAGTCCAGTTATTGACTCTTCGTAGGCATCAAATGTAAAATAACATTTAAAATAGACGAAAATCTTTTCTAAGCGACAATGTAATGTACTCTATTTGTAGCAGTTTATAAATAGTTCTCTTTTTTTAGTTTCTTCTTGATGAGGATATTAACATATGCTCAGTAAATTTTCGAAAGGAATTCAAACGGGATGCATCTATTCGCTTCAAACCTGAAGTAATATCGAACAATTTAATGGTGTTAAATATGGGCACGGCTAGTCGTGAGTGGCCGACCGGAGGGAGGCCGACGAACGACTAGACGTTGACTTAGAAGGCTATTTTAGAGCATAATTTTGAAATGAGTCTGAAGCAGTTTAGGGAGATTCTCAGAAAAACTTAACTAATGGTGATTTGAAAACAAATTCGGCAACATATCATTTTGTTAAAATAAAAAGAAGTTGAAAACCATGACGAAAAGTAGACAACATTATTTAAATGTTGGAGATTTTTGATTACATATCGATACGTCATGAGTAAACTAGTTTTTCTGCGTATCAGAGTACTAATGTGACGAATGGTAGGCAGAAAAATAAACCATATATGGAAACGGCTAGTCGTGAGTGGCCGACCGGAGGGAGGCCGACGAACGACTAGACGTTGATTTAGAAGGCTTATCGTAAGTATAAGTGAAAGTTGAGGCAGCTACAGAAATTGTCAAATGATCTGATTCTTGAACCAAAATAATTCCTTATTAGACATTTGACGTAATATAGTCTATCCAGTAAAGAATTTGTGAATGCTAGCAGGGCGTTATTTGCTTGTTGTGTCGTAAGCAAAAATAGATGTAGTTGTGCCATCCTAAAGATTTCAAGAAGCTGTGCGAAATCCTATAATTTTGAAAAAAATATATTTTTTTCAAGTTATTCTGATTTAGGGTGGTCGCCACTTGGTCATGCTACTGAACTCGCTGAACAAACGGAAACAACTAAACGATATCTAATTTCGTTTTCTTAAAGAAACAGTCATATAGCAATACAAATCGCACTTAAAAAGGCATAAATGTTTGTCTCCCCGTTTTATTCAGGGAAGTCAGAGTTCAGGATAAGAAAATATGACATCCCAAACAACTGAACATGATCATATATCTGTATTAAGCTTAATCAGACTTAATCAAGGATAAGCAACTGAAATTCGAGGTCTGCTTCTGATGACGGTACAACATTTAAATATCTAGCGAATCATTTAAGGGTGCTCGCTCTAGAGAAATCTAGTGTTGAAAGGCGGCTAATATTTTTCAAAACATCTATTTTTTGATTCTTCAACTATATTAAGGTTCCTCTACCCAGACTATTTTCAAAATGATAGAATTCGAGAATGTTCTTCATCACAACTAGTTTAAACTCTTTAAATTTGATGAGTTTTTTCAAAAAAACAAGTAACGCGACGCAAACGTCGCTAACCCTCTACTGAAAGGATGTGATTTCCTTCAACATATGGTACTCACGGAGAAGAAGATCACAGAACTAATGTGCTGGTGTGCATCTATAAAAAGATAAATAGTTCTCGTCACCATGGCTCGCTTGCTAATTGATTGGATTTGATTTAACCATCGTGAGGTGTGGGTGGGTGGGTGGGTGTGGGGTGTGTCTGAGTATGGATGAAGTGAAGACACACGCCCACACCCCATACCCACACCCCACACCCATACATACACCCCACACACATCCACACCCCCAGGATGGTTAAATCAAACCCAATCAATTAGCAAGCGGGTCATGGTGATGAGAACTATTTATCTTTTTATAGATGCATACCAGCACATTAGTTCTGTGATCTTCTTCTTCGTGAGTACCATATGTTCAAGGAAATTACATCCTTTCAGTAGAGGGTTAGCGACGCTTGCGTCGCGTTACTTGTTGTATATGTCAATAATAGAATCTTCTTTTATTGTTTCGTTTTTTTTCATCATATTTCTTAAACTGAATCAATGTTATATGTTTCTTTCTTATATTGAAACCTTGGCATATGAGACACTATATAAATGTCATCAATATCATTTGTCCAGCTTTTTCTTCGATGTGATTTTTTTTCAAAACAAAATTTATATGAAAAAAAAATATTTATTTATTTATTTTTTTCAATCTTATTTCTTCAACAAATCACGTAAAAAGTTAAATAAATATATAAAAGAGAAAAAAAACATAAACTATTGTGAATATGTTCTCAACAAATAATATTTTCTCCTGGAATATAGCATCTGACTAGTCACGGGTCGATCATTCCGGTCGTCGGAAATGGCGTCTTATCCGATCTGAAAGGGCTATAAAACGGCGAATTACTGCATTAATTTTGGCCTTATTGCGTCGTTATCCATCATACCATATTACGAGCCGTTTTATTGAACCTGGGGTATAATGATATATTATAACAGACGTATTTAATATTTTTGTAATCCTCTGTAAGTCTTTTATTAACACCATGTTCCAGACCAGAATATTGTATATTTCGAATATTTCTAAGATATATTATGTAGACGGATCGACGAAATTGCGTGAATGATTAACCGTTCCGTGAACATAACGATCAGGTCAATCTCTGCCGTTTGTTATTGCATTGTAAGCTCGCCATTGATCACTGTAAATTGTTGTGCCAGGTAAAATATATTGATGAATAATAGGCAGCAACGTAGCAGCATCACGGCGATCTAGAACGACAGCAAAATACACACACGAGTATTCCTATCGATACCACTAAATACCCACTGAGTATTTACTAGACGACCTCGATTGTATTTTCGTTTCGTCCATGCACTTTCATCGATTTCCACCACATGATTAACCACGCCAATAATAGCTGGAAGACGAATGAAATATTCACCACATAAATCATGCATAAAATTTTTCCAGTCAACAATTGTTGCATAATCTAATATTTGAACATTTTTTCTGATAAATTTATATGAATCTAAACCTTGTGACCAGTAAAATATTAAATCCAAAATTTGTTGTATTGTTAGCCGATTCTTTGAAAAAAAGTAGCATCACGTAATGAACGAGAACACTTACATGTACTACAACGCCATTTGCCTTGATCGTTTGATGTTGAAGAGGACCCTAAATACCAATTATTGTGCATTTTTTTACATGGTTTGGTTGGATAAACATGTAATAAGCTAACATGTTGACAAAATTCTATACATTGATCCGTGCTAGAAGTTAAATTATGCCATTCGTGTATAGTTAAATCGTCGAGAGCAGGTAATGGAGAATAACCCTTTGTAAATAATGAAAAAATGTTGTAGAAAATAATTTTAAATAGAATATCGTTAATTATATTAAATTTAAACCTATTTTGGGTGTGGGTGGGTGTGGGTGATGGTGTAGGTGTGGGTGTAGATACTCTGCTTTGATTCACGCCCACACCCACACCCACACCCACACTCACACCCACACTCACACCCACACCCACACCCATACTCATACACCCACACACCCCACCCACACCCTAGTTCGTTTTACCATTACAATAAGGAATTCTAGCTAATTCTTTATCTTCATTGTTATTGATTGAGTGGTTTGTTAGTTGGACTTGTGATGAAGTCAGAATAGTTCTTAACATTTGATTATCAGGTTCTGCTGATGCGATCATCTTCGTTTCTGTTGCATCGGTAGAAGTGAACAATGGTGAATTGATTTTCATCGTTGATGAGTCTGTTTTAATTGACTGGCATGATATATTTGTAATATATGAATTCTCCATATTGTTATTTTGATTTAGGATACTTGATGGAGTCGCTTTATCTTCTCTTGTTTGATTCGATATTACTTGATGCATACTTAATTTCGACAAATCTAAACTAGTTCTTGTTTGTACCATACAAACTAATGTTAAATATTTTGTCTTGTAAATTTCGTAGTAGTCCGATTTATAAATCTTCTTGAAACTCAAGAAGCCGGCCTAGTGTACCAATTGTTAGCACTGGTTATACAGTTTATTATCAAAAAAATGAAAAAGCGTGCGTATTTATAGGAGAGGGTCATATGCTAAACAATAGTACAAAGAATGGTGATCACGCTAGACATGATGAACAATAGAACAAAGAGTAATAGTCACACTAGACGTTGAGCAATAGTATAACGACGATGATCACGCTAAATGTAGCAAAGTAGATGATTGGAAGATAACATGACAGTCAAGGGTCGCCTCGATAACAAGAGCCGATTTCAAATCTATCGAAGAAGTTAAAACACTTATTAAATTCGGAAAAATAAATACAGGTAGTATGATTCATTCAGTAAAATCGTACCATCTACCAATACGTATTAATAAATGTTTAAAATGTCTACGACATGATCACACAACAAAAAGCTGTTCTCTACCTCGTTTATGTCCAAGATGTGCAGAAGAACATTCACTTGAATATGGTTGTCCCAATCATGAAAGGTGTATCAATTGTGGCGGTGATCACATATCCGGTCATTCAGCATGTCCAGTAGTACAAGAAAAACGTCGTGCACTTGTAGAGCAGGCGAAGATACAAAGAGCAGAACTATTGGTGCGTGCTGAACAACAACAACAACAACAATATGTTTTTCAAGGAAGTGATTATCCAGCATTACGAAATTGCAACCAACTCCATTCATCTTGCTACATACCACGCCAATCTATCGAATCGTCTCAAAGATCATATGCTCAGGTAATCCTAAATCAACGTGAACAACAACCACACAAAGATATTGAATACACCTTATCTTCTTTCTTGAATAAAATGGAACGTCGGTTAGACGAATTCTCTTCTCGTCTGTCATCACAGCTATGTGATATCGCAAAGAAAATAAACGTCTGTACTGATCATCAATTTGAAATGGGAAACATTATCAATGAATTAATTCTTCCATCAATTCAAGAGTTAGGAAGCATAGTATCGCAATATACAAGAAAATTTTAAAAAATTTAGCATCAAAATCACCGAAATTTTGGTGAACCATAAACATCAATTGAATTATCGCAGCCTACAACTAGCATCTGATCACAATGACAATTCAACAACAAATGTCTCTCACCAATAACTCAATGCCACTGCAGTTCAATAGATACAAATTCATCGAATTAACTGACAAGCTATTACCTCTTTTATATGAACTCTCGGATCATCAAAAACAAATTGGAATTGAAACGTTACAAGAATGGTGCTGGACACGAAATATTCAAGATTTGTCGGATTGATGGCAACAACAATATCATCAACCTAAAATAACATCAAGTTGGCTTTCAATGTTACATTATAATATTCGTTATTTTTATTCAAATCAAGCTGATCTCATTGACATGGTGAACGTTTATTATCCATCAATAATCTCTCTCAATGAACTTGGCATAGTGGTTCTGAATAAAATAATTAAGCAGCTTCTCTTCTCGTACAATGTGTATACAAAACAAGGCACAAATCCTCATGGTGGTGTTATCCTTGCCATAGACAAGAGATTGAAATGCCAACTAATGGATGTAAACGAACCAAATATCATTGCTGCTCTAGTCACAATTGAACGTCAACAATTCGTTGTTGCAAGCATTTACTCACCAGCGACAGATCAACTCCCATTAACTACAATGTCTACCTTACTTAAAGAATCGAAAAACATTATCATCGTAGGTGATCTAAATGCCAAGCATCCGGATTGGGGGTGCCCGCAAGTGAATACAAAAGAACGCGACTTAGCCATCTGGCTCAACAAACACAAGTTGAACGTGCTCAATACTGGTATCAAAACATCTCTATGTTCAGATACAACTATCGATCTCATTATATCTAGTGAAGTTCCTGAAACATCAGAAAGTCAATCTTTAGAATATACAAGCAGTGATCATCTCTACCTATATTAACAAAATTTTTTCGTCTCAATGTATTAGATAACAAGCTCTTTGTACCGCGCACGTATTGGAAATTATATTCAAATATTCTCAATGTTCTATATGACCAGCTACAAGATGAACAAGAAATTGCGATGAACGATTCTAATAATACATACAATTGGTTCCTTAATTTTCAACAATTTCTTGCTGCTCTTAAGATGCGGATAACAGTGTGGCAGGAAGTCAAGCGAAAAAGACCATCCATCCCATTATCACTACGAATTCTACTTCATCGCAAGCACTATCTTCAAAATCGATTTCGACATAAAAAGTAAGAAGAAGATCGATTAAGATTACAGTCATGGAATGTATTGATCAAACAAGAACTTCGCACCCATCGGCAAAGGAGCTGGGAACAATTTATACCAAACGTTGCTTCACCAAACCCAACTATATTCTGGAATACGGTGAAAAAGCTGAACAAAAAGAAATCTGTCGAATGTGCTGCTATTACCGAAGAAAGTACAATACATCGATCACCGGAAGACAGCGTCAGGAACCTAGCTCAACATTTTGCCGAACGTCATGCTCAATCAGTACTAAACATGGCAAATACACTTAACAGAGAAGCTAACGAATTATGGCAACTTTACAGTACAGCCGATAAAGATGACATTAGATTAATATCCAAGCAGTCAGATCTTCAATTTAATGAACAAGATATTAAAAATACTATTCGATCCTTGAAAAATAAAAACTCATCCGGATTTGATCAAGTGTCAAACAAAATGATAAAAGAACTACCATCTCACTTCCACGTCATGCTTGCACACGCGTATAATGAACTTTTCTGTTCAGCTCATTGGGGTAGCGAATGGAAAGTAGCACTTACCATATGTCTTAATAAAAGTGACAATCCCGCACCGACTACAAACCAGTTGCGCCCGATCTCAATGTTACCAGTATTTAGTAAAATCTATGAAAAGCTATTCCTTCTCAGATTTAATAGAAGGTCAACAAGTATGAACATTTTACCTGTTCAACAATCCGGCGCAAGACCGCATCAGGCCACAACATCACGGGTTAACTGTCTACTACAACAAATTACTCAATCTCTGCGTCACAATACATTTACTCCAGTGATATACATTGACTTCATGCAAACATTTGATAAATTATGGCCGCAGGAACTGGTCCTAAAATTGAATAAACTTAACTGTCCATCTGCCTATCTAGCGTGGGTATTCCTTTAGCATGTGCTACACCGTTAATTAATAGTATCATTATAGCTGGTGCTCCTTTTCATAGAAAAAATGCTCCACACACTAATTAGTGTGTGGAGCATTTTTTCTATGAAAAGGAGCACCAGTTATAGTGATACTATTAATTAACGGTGGAGCACGTGCTAAAGGGATACCCTAGCGTGGATTGTAAATTATTTCACATGTCGTTCTCTAAAAATTGACTATGGTGGTATAGAGTCAGTATTAATCAACGTCGAACGTGGTGCCCCTCAAGGCAGTTGTCTTGGTCCAGTTATGTATGTAATTAGTCATCATGATCTACCACAAATTTTTGCTAATCCGACCAATGTTCATGCCTATGTCGACGATATAGCAATCGTTTATACTTCATCAATGCATCTAAAATTTAAACATCAAGTCATTGAAATTGAGAAGAACATTAACAATGATATGCGAAATTTACGGAACTATGCGAACGACTGGCATCAACCATTAAATCCGAAGAAAACTGAACTTGTCAACTATCATAGGGCAGTGCAAAGTCCCAAGTTAGATATTTACTATGATGGTGTAAAAATAATACAAAAGAAATCGTTCAAATATCTCGGACTTTATCTTGACGGTAAGTTATCCTTCCGCATCATGATAGATGCTCAATTTATTAAGTTAAGAAAAGCGTACACGATATTAAAATTTATTCATCGACAATTCCCATCATTTCTAAAATTAAAAATTAAATTTTTCAACATGTATGTCTGGCCCCACCTATACATGTTATCAACGATCTATTGTCTATTCTCAAGTACATCTCGTAATCGAGTAGCAGCTTTTTATCGAAGATGCCTGAGATTGATCTATTGCCTATTTCAATGTCCAACAGATGGTCTACATGACCACTTCAAGCTACCTATAATCGAACAACGATTCAAAAAATGTTTATCGAAACGAATGAAATGCATCTAACAACATGAACCAATACTCATCGATTCTGTATTACAAAATAAACATCTATTTAATATGCTTTATAATCATTATCGAATTAAAGCTTACTTACGGAATATGCCTGCTGGTCGACCAAACAATCGACTTTCAGCGTTTCTTGATACGGACAGCTCTACCTTTTTTGATCAACTATGTCAATTTGTTTCTAGCTAAGTCATTCACTTACTACTACTATACCCACTTTATTTCTAACATTCATTCATCTATATCCTCATATTGTTATAGTGTTATATTGATAGTTTCTGTGTAAAGAGTCCTTCAGGACTAATCGCACAGTTTGTGATAAGACGGTCAGCGCCTCAAGGCGAATTCGTCATAAAATAAATATAGCAATTATCAAAAAAAAATATTATTAATAATCGTTATTAATTTTTCTTAATTGTTTACTATTAATAAGAGTTTAGAACTGATTTATTTTTGTTTCTTTGTTGTGCTTGTGTTGTGAAAAGTTTAACGACACTTTTATTCACTTATTCTATAGACATGTCTATTAAGAAACAAAACAAAAAATGAAGAATTATGTAAACATGATTGTAAATTAATTACTGAAGATTATTCTATTTTACGATAATATCATAGTTGTTGATACCAAAGTGTAACAGAACTATATATCATATTTTCGTTTGTAACAAAAAATTAAAAAAGCTTGACACTTGTATTCGACTAAAATATAGAGTTCACACAGACTATTCATGCTTTTAAGAAGAATATCTAAATGAAAATGTATTATTTTATATTTAAAATAGATCAATATTTTCTCTATAGTATAAGTTAGAATTAGTTCTACGAGTTTGAATTGTATTTGAAATGAAAAAGACAAATTCAAAATTGTACATGTCAACTAAACCGTCTTTTTCTATTATTCTTTTTTTTTGATATTTCCAAAAAATAAATCAATGTTAGATTTTTTTTTCTTATATTGAAAACCTGACATATGATACAATAATATTCAAATATCATAAAAATCATTCGTGCAGTTTCTTGTTCAGTGTGATTCTTTTTTTGTTTTTTTCTAAACTAGATTTTTATGAAAAACAAGCATTTTTTATTTATTATTATTCGATATTATTTCGTCAACAAAGTATATAAAAAAAGTTAAACAAAAATTTCAGCAACAAACAAAAAAAACATATAAGTGTGAATATGTTCTCAACAACAAAATAATATGTTTTGTTGTATTTTTTCTATTCAAATGATATTATACTACTTCTTTTGTTGGAATATAATACTCGACTAATATGTTGATACATTATAATATAAATATTTAATATACATTTATTCATATGTAAATAATCCATTAATACGATGTTCCATTCCAAAAAATTGTATATTTTCAATATTTCTACGAAATTTTCGATTTTCATTACTCATACATTCGAATTTTGCTAATATATCACTTGTAAATAAACAACTATTTGTTGATGATAACCATGTATTTTTATCAAATATCAATTGACAACAACTATCATCATACCAAAAATTATATTTAATAGTACCAAAAATTTGCTTTTCTAACAAATATCCACCTTCTAAACTTTGTAGTCGATGAGGTGTACCACATGAAAAATCATTAGAATAAGATTCTAGAAATAAATAAAAAAATTCATGTATCAAATTTACAAGTAATCTTGTATTCGTTCTTATTTTTGACCAAGTATGTTCAGTTAATGTTTGTTTATCTTGATAAATGACCTAATTTAATCCAGCTAAACCAACTATAGGACTAAATTTAATATCATATACATTTAATTCTTTTGTAACAATATTTAATTGTTCAATTAATAAATCTTCATTTATATTTGTATTACATTTTTCATTATATGTTAACAATAACAAAGATAGAAAACGTTTTGATTTCATAATAACATTTTTAAAATATTCTACATGAAAATCATTCATCATATTATTGATATACATAAAGTTATCTTTAAATTCAGTCATGTCTTTAAAAATAAGATGATGTAAATGGATAAATGATTTTAAACCAGTTTCCTCTATGATATCTTCTATTTGTTCATTATCAACAAATAAACGTGAATAATGAAATAATGATATTCATTTAATTAAATGTACATTTTTTTCAGATAATACTTCATTACTATCTTCATATTTTAAAAGACATATTTTTAATGTCATTATGAATACATGAACAATTTTTTCTATTACTTTGATTTCATTATTTATATTTTTGTGATTATAATAAAAAATTAAAATTTTTCCAATTGTCCATTGTAGTGGACGATCGATGTTTTCAAACGATATATCTTTATATGGCAAAAATAGTTGATTTTGTACTAAAGTTAAATTACAACTTGGCCATTGTACTTCAATATTTTTAGATTCATAATATGATTTAATTTTTGAAATAATATTTGGTTCATTGTAAATGTATTTTAACAATGTATTAAAATTCATTTTACTTTGTTTTATATCTAAAATACAAAAATAAAATAAAACAAATTTATTCATTTACATCATACAGTAACAATTATAAGTTATAACCATTATATATACAAGTGATTTTTTTATGTCAGATTTTTTTTGCTATTTCTACTTAGTCATTTCGCAGTACAAGTCACATACTGTATTTGTTTGACTGTATATTGTTGGGCATTTTCCTTCTGATCAAAGACAAAAACAAAGACGTCATCTTGAAATGTTTTTTGTGTTTCTTGTATAAGATAATCATTTTGTTTTTTCTATTCTATATTCTATTCTGTGATCAATATATAATAAGGATAAACGATGTCAAATTAGTCCATTCTATAGAAATCTATCACATCGATAGATGCCATCAATATACTATATAGAAATATTTTGTGAAAAAAACAATTGTATAATATGAAAATATGAAGTTTTATAAGAAAAAAAAAGGGATGAACGAAAAACAGTTAGAGTCAGATTGGGTAAATCAATTATACTTTTTGATAGGTTGACTTTTTTCTTCTATAATTTTTTTTTTGTTTTTCATCGGATAATAAACTTTTCCCTGCCAAATATGTACAACAAACATTTTTCTACGCAGAAATGTTTTTAGTTTTTAAAAATACTGCTCAGGATCGGATCTACACCTGTTTTTCTAAGAGCACTTCTCGAATAATTAATTTAACTCACATGGGGTGAATCATTTCTTCTGCTGATGTCATTGTGGTATTGGCAAAAGTCCAGAAGACTTGCCAATCAATTGGTGAAAGTTCAGTGAACATTCGCCAATACATCCTTCGGAATTTCGCCAATAATTGGCGAAAGTCTTATTGGCGAAGAGCGGAAACTCCACTTTTTGTGCTCTATATATGTTCCTAAGTGTTATCTATCTGTTACATATGTTTGCATAATGCAAACTTAGCTTCAAAGTAAAGAAAAAGTCGTAAAGATTAAAGGTTCTCTTTGTGAAAACAGTTAGATATATTTCGTTCTGCCAACCTTCATCAGAATCTAATTTTTCCAGAAAAACGCACATAATCCTACTCATTTATTACAGATAATATCTTTTCTCTAGGTGAAAGACATATTTTAGAAATTCTAGAAATACTTTGTCATAGTTACTTTTTTATTTTACAAAAATATTCTATGCCAATATTTAACAGCATTTACAAAATGAATTCTCTCGAAAAAGCAACGTACTTATAAAGAGCACGTTGATTCTAAATAGATGTGTCACTTTTTAATTAATTTTAGATTGAAATAGTGAATTAAAAATAAATTTAATTTACCTTTAAATTTAATTTATAATTTAAAGAAATTTAAATTTCGAAAAATTTACAATTTTGAAAGTGTTTCCTTTTAGATTTAATAGTACAACTTGTAACAAGTCCTATACGTGGATGATGTAAAGAAATGAAAAAAAAAGTGGAGAGAAGATTGTTACGAAAAATATTTTCACAGTGAAAAAGATTTATGTATAATTTTTTTTTCAAGATTAAGGGCATTCTCAGATTTATTTTCTTCGTTTGAGAATTTAAAAAAAAAATACAATACGACTATAGGTGAAACAAATTGAAATTTTGTTTCTTTTTCTAATAGAAAAATTTCAAAAATTCTTACAAGACAAGACGACATCAAATTTGAATTCTTCTCAATTCTAATTCTTCCTTCTACATAAGTATGAAAATATGTTACAGAAAAAATGAACAAATACGAATAAGCACAAGTGTTTTTCTTATTCGTGAAACAATCTTACATGTTATTTTCGTACATTAACGTTAATTCATCTGAAAAAGATGACTTGATTTTAATTTAAGTTTTTTTTCAGAATTGCATTGATTTAATTCGGCATTGTCTTATCTAGTATAGACAAGACCTGAATGTTTGATTCTTTCTTTCTCCATGTATTGAACGCATATCATTGACTTGTTCTTAGTAGTCGACAAAAGATTATGCACATATAATTTTCAACAAAGAACAACAATGGAAAAAGACAAAGTGGAAAGAACAAGTTCAATCCAATATAAATATAGACGTGTGCGATCTAACGCGTCAGTTGTGTTTGAACCTGACGTAAGTAAGAATATTTTTCATAAGACAAAATAATATTGACTAAGAAAACCATATCTGAACTCTTATTAGTGAAGATTCTTCTTATTGTTTTCTTTTTCTTCACATTGAATTTTTATAATTGTCACTTATAATTTTATTATACTAGCGAGAGCCCGTGCATACTGCACGGCTGTTTGTTTTTTCTCTCACATATGACAACGGACGTTTAACTTTTCATCCGGTACCGGACATACAGACACTTGCTATTATGTATATGGATAGGTAGCCCTACGACCTCATACTCTTACATCGCACGTAATTTGATAGTCCATTAGCCTTCGGCCTTATGTCCTTGGTAGCTCTTGTAGTATTATCCCCTTATTGCCTTACCCTCTTCTTGCCATACTCTCTTCAGGATCTATGGGTACCCCCATATAATAGCTTTTGAGGGTCTATGGGTACCCTATAGGATAGCCCTTGAGAGCCTATGGATATCTCCATAGGATAACCCTTGAGGGTGTGGGGTGTGGGTATGGCATCTGGGTGTGCATATGGCTGTGGCTGTGAGTGTGAGTATGGATCGGTGTGTGTGTGGGTAGTCAGGAGACGAAAACTGACACCCACATCCACACACCCACTCCCATCTCCACACCCACACCCACCCACATCCACACCCACATCCACCCCCACCCCCACACCCCACACCCACATCCACCCACACTCACACCCACACCCTCAACCGACACCCACACCCACACCCTTCAATCTTGGAGTGAATGTGACGACAACAAATATTGACTGAAGTCCAATATTTGTCTTTCTCTTTCTCTCATCAATTAAATATGCTAAGCAACTGACTTTTTCTTCAGCCATTTCTGTTTTCTCCTATTTCTGATGATTTTTTTTTATGAAAGAATAGATGAAAGTTTCAAGGTGAATGCGATTGTTTTTGGACGCTAAGAGAGAAAAATAACACAACAGAACGACGAATGAGACTCGTCATGTTGAAAACAAATTCAGTAAGTCATTTTTCAACTTTTCTTTATGTTGACAACACCAACTGATAAGATGGTAAATACTAATTGTGAGTAGTATTTTAAGCTATACAATATCTTTTCTTATTGCCAGTTGTTCCATATTTTCTGATAGTCATCAGTTATTGAACAATTTGAGGCATTGTTGAGTATCATGGTTATTAATCAAAATAGATATTTTTCAGGCAAACCTATTCGTCTTGAAAAATAGCTTCGAAATCAAACTGAGTAAATTCATGACATTTCTATTTTCACAGTATGGGTATCATTGTCATCCGCCACGACTTGAGAAGACGCCGCTAATACTAGCGGCAAACTTAATTTTCCGACGAATACTGAACCTCTCAGTTTCGTTCTGTAGATAATCCAATACTATAGCACAGTACCCGTTAGAAAACTCAATGGCTTCCTGAAAATATTATGAAAAACTATCATTTTCAACATATTAGTAGACAAAACTTTCAAAACTGTGCCTAACATTCGTGTTTGACAATTTCAAATCCAGAAGTTGCCTTCTCACTAGAACTCAATATGTTCTATTGTTTTACTCACGATTTATCTGCTTTGATCCTCGACCAAATACGACATGATAAAGTAATTTAGTATTCGCGTCTTCAAACAGACATATTGTGATACTCATTCTGCTCCCGGCACACAAACGCTACCTCAGATCTTTTCTTCAGCACCTGCCAGGGCTGATGTTTTCGGTTTATTAAAAATTCTGAATAATGCCGTAAGCACTTCTGGATAAATCCTGTATGATGCGTTCATACATTCGATGGGCACCAAGTAGACCCAGGTAAAGGATTCCGAGGAGCGGATACTACAGGAACCAGCAGGAAAGTGTAGCAAAAATCAGCGTATCTTGCAGAAAAACAATGGACATGTCGGAAGCTGGAAGTCTTGTTTCGGTCGGAAATTTTCGGAACGTTTTCGATGATTTTCTGATGGAGTCATCCCAGGTCGAAGAGTACGGGTCGGTTCTCGCAGGAAAACACCGAAAATCAACGGAACGTGGAAGCAGTATTCCGGTCGAAAATTTTTCGGACCTTTTTTCCGGCGAATTCCAGCGAATTCATGTCCTTTACGACAGGAACTGGCCGAAAGTTATCCGGAAAATTTCCGAAAAATTTTCGGCCGGAATACTGCTTCCACTTTTCGTTGATTTCCGGTGTTTTTCTGCGGGAACCGGAGATTTTTCCGGCCCTTTCCTGCAGGTTCCTGCAGTATTCGGTGACAGGAACGATCGACCTGGGATGCTAAAAAGTATAGGAAATTAGTCGGAATTTATCAGAAAATTTCCGGCAGGACTACTGCTGCTATGTTCCGGCTATTTCGGATGTTTAGCTGCCTGAATCGGCCCATACTTTTCGACCAGGGATTTAATTCGACAATAGGATCGTCTTTGGTCCGACAAGAATCTGATCGGATTTTATGTATATACCTAAAAATTGAAGAACTCCTAGCAGAATCCGGGAAAATAAACGACATCCGAATCTCTAGTTTTATAATCTGACGAGATAATGCTGTCGGAATTCGACGAAATTCAACGCCCCGCCCTGACTGATCTCTACTATTATCACTAGTTAATAATTAGTATTTAATTAATTAAATAATTCTCTCAATCGTATCTGTCAGTGGATTCGTTTTCCAGAACCTCATCGGATTCTATTAGATATCTGATCCGATCAAATCCAATAGGTTCCCGTATCGGATTCATTTATCTGGGCGGATGTGAATATGGTGTGGATTAAGATATGAACGTTTGTGTAGGCTTCGATGATGAAGTTTGGGGAATGAGATGTGTTAGGAAAAAGAATAATTCCATTATGTCGGTGTATGTGATAAAAGCAGTACATCCGGTAAAAGTGTGCCCGTGTGGTTTCTTAACACTTTTTCTCTAGCTGCAGAGCCAGTAGCGTGTGGCTGCCACTGTTATGAGAGTCTGTGGTTATTCTCCTTTTTATAATAACGCCGGCATCTACTTTTATACCC